CATATATGTTTTTTTTTATAAAGAATAATACGGAAATACAATTTTCCTCTGCTTTTTCTATGTTTGAGGGAATTTACTTAGAACGTTTTTTTTTTGATAACAGTCATAATACTAAATAGTTTTAAAAAAAAACATTTACTTATAAATATCAATAATAATAATCTTGAAACGTTATGAATGTATACCAATATAAAGGAAATATTATAGGTAATAACTACCCCTCCGATTGGTATTTAATAAAAATTAAAAATACACGTCTGTAAGGCGGGTGACACACAGGGGAAATTTGTTTCGTAAAAATTTATTTTATGGAATAAGAAATTTGTTTTGTTAGTTAAAAACGTGTGTATTTAAATGGAGCAACACATACTGGTGTTTCCGAAACGTTATCTCAATTGTATTTTGGTAAGCAAGTTTCATGAAATAAATCATGTTTTGTTTCGCGTGTAGTTATTTCATCATTTAAAAAATAACCTACGCTGTTTACAACAAATTAAAAGCTATGTATATTACTTATTTATTTATAAACGCCCGAAAGCTTAGTGTATCAGTCCAAATTATAACTTAATAAAACAGTAAAAATTGAGGTATACAAAAGTTAGGTAAAAATTCAAATAAATTAAGAGAAAGTAAGGGTGGATTTTTTAATCCTGCACAGTTAGCAACTTAAATTTTATAACAGTTTATTGCAGGGTTCCGTAACGTAACGAAATATAACGTTATAAACTCAATTATTTCGTTCACGAATAACGTTATAATTTTTTTTGACCCGAGAACGTTATACCGAATAACGTTTTTAGTTTATTTGTTCCGAGAACGTTATAACGAAAAACGTTTTAAACTTGTTTTGATTGTAAATAAAAATAAAAAATAGCAAGAAGCCGTTTAAACAACGTTCGAACTACCTGTTTAAAATATTTATCCAAACTAACTGTAGGTTTTATAAATAAAAATAAAAGACAATAACAGTTTTTTGAAGTAATTGACTAGTTGTAATTTAGTTAACAAATAGTATTGTCACTTTCAAATATTTTGCAATTTGTTTGTACATTAGTTTTTATTTATTATTCATACATTTTTTTTATCGTCTAAATGTTATCCAAATTTATAGTTTTGGAACTTAAAATTAGACTGGGAAGAAAACATTGACCCGGTGTATGTAAAAACAAACAACATAGTTAATAGTTAATACAACTTTATATGATTTCATATTACTTTTAATTGACTATTGACGATTATTAATTTATTTTATTTTTTAGAATACCATCAGCTCACCAGAGAACACTACACAACTCAAGAAGCCTTCCCCATTGGATATTCTTTAATAAAACGGGTTTTTATGTTATACACAATAAATATATACACTACTAATAAAATAATCTAATACATTATTTTACTTTAATAAACTTGAGTAGTAATGTAATATATGTTTGCTAACAAATACCACTTAAATAAAACACATATTATAGTCTCGTTAATCTTCATTAAGTATACAATACCAAAACTGATCGAGTATCGTTGACGTTGAATTTAATTATGGAACAATAACATATTACAAAACCATGTTGCCCTTTTTGTGACTTAGATGAGAATTGTAAAATTGATATTTTTCATAAATGTGTATTTGTTTAAACTTTAACTAAATTGAATGTATTTATTAAGGTATAGAAAAAAGTGAAAAATTCACACTGTACCTTAATTAAATAATATAAATATATTACGATGCACATATTAAACATAAACAACGTATGTAAAAATTATTAGTTATAAATGTTTAATACAACTACTCAAGTAAAACAATTATATATAATTCGTTTTACAAACATATGTTTTGTTTTTATAATTCATTTTTTACATTAAAATATTCAAATAGTCTGAGATTCATTAATCATAAGTTTTGTTAATTATGTGTCATTTATTCTGTTAAAAAGAATAATAATAATACTTGTAATATTTTTGGTGTTATTATTTGATTGATTCATTATACATTATATTATCATTTACCTTATTATTTTTTTTTCTTTTACTATAAATTACGAAATATGACTACCTACGTAGAATATTGTACATACAAATTTCTATCTTGTAAGAGCATGTAATATGCTGAAACATTTTAATTTAAATAGATAAAATTATTTGATCTGTAGACATCGATTTACACATAAATTCATTATAATCAGTCAAAGTAAAATCGAAACGAATAGAAAAAAAAACAAATGAGCTAAATGAATATTACACATCTTTATAGTAAGGATATATAAATTAATTTTCTAAAAATCAATATAAATTATTATAAATTAAATTATTATTGTGTTTATATTGCATAATGTTGGCTTAACTGAAACAACATTTTAATGGAAAATATAATTTCATAATATGGATTAGCATTTTAGAGCTTCTCGTAAAATTAAAGAGGGTCTGGTGGCTTCTGATAAGTGATGGTAAGTAATTTAATCGGATCTCCAACGTCGTCAAATCGTTTAAAACGAAACACAGAATAACAATTTTCTGTTATTTTCTGATTTGACAGGTGTGTCCTGGCTTTTATAAATCATTCCGAAGAGATCATCTAAGACCAAAAACCGACTATAGTAGCGCTCAGCGCTAATTGCGGGCTGAAGAAGTTTGGGTACGAGAAGAAGACGTGATCCTGTCGACGGCCTCTTAGTCGCCTCATACGACAGACAGGCGAGCTCTATGGAAGTATTCTGATCCCCTATCCTAGTGGAATGAAAACTGGGATTCTGATTTGACAGTAAATTTAATTTAAAATAAAAACAAAATGCTCTAAGACCGTTTTCGCGAATACAAATATATAATATACTTGCATCAAATTACTTCATAATTTAAAAAATTAAGTCTACAAATTTATATAGTTTGTTTTTTTTATAATATAGTAGCTAAATAATAATTTACAATTGTATGCATTTTTTTTTACAAGTTTTTTAATGAATTTGTTATAGTAATAAAGTGAGGACAATATAATATTTTGTATCCAATAATAACTCCTATTACTTGGTACCTACTCCAAATTAAAAGAACTCCTAGTGAGAGTATGACTTCATCATAAGGGCCAGTATTGTGCGCATAGTGGTTATAATTCTTTAGTAATGAATGAACTTTAAAAGTCATACAGGTGCACTTTGGATTATATAGTTTCGACGATGTGGTTTTATTAAAGAGAGTTCTACATCACAATAATGGACAGAGGTATTAAAGAAAAATGGCTTGACAATAAAATTTTAGAGTTGAATTTTAGTGAATAAAGTGGAGGAAATAGGAAGTAAAGTCGCTTTGTTAAGAATGGAGAGTAAACACAAATTATGGGAAATGCGAAAGTAAGGTAAATGAAAGAAAACAAATTGAGAGAGTATGGGTATGTTAAAAGATGAAAGAAAAATGGAATAGCAAAATGGAAATAAGATGGAGGGATTTGTAGTTATATAGTTCCGAAAAAGAAGTAAGCGGAGTGAATGAAGGTATTGATAGATTTGTAGAGGGGAGGAAATTGGCTAAAATTAGTCAAAAAAGGAGAAAAGTTATATTTTATGTAAAAGTGCTAATAATAGTAGATACTATATATGAACAGTTACTTTGAATACTATTTCCATTTGTTTATCTTTCGGACAGTGGACAATTATCAAAGTCGCTCAAAATTGTATTTATATTATAACATATCGAAAAATACTTAGGCTTTAGTAAATTATTTATACTAGTTTCTTAAACTCGACAATAATGTAAATTACTAAAAAGGTTACCACAAAATATAAGGTAATGTCGTAAAATATCTTACCTCTAATCTGCGGTTATATATGTATTATTATGTATTAACAGTATGAGGTCTACCATGTTGGAGAAATAAATAATATATATGATACTATACTTAATATAACTCTGCTAGCTTTCCAAAAATAAAATTATGTTTTATAATTATGTTAAAAATATGTTAATTATGTTATTATTTTTAATAAAATAATAACAATATATTTTTTTTCATTGTTTAATTTTAATACGAAATTGTATACTTAAATATAAAAAAAAAATATTATAATGTATTTACAATTTCAAACGACATCCTGCAGGGAGAAACTGCAGTTGATGTAGCAGAAAAATAAAACTAGTTACGCTATACCAACAACGTGATTACAAAACAAATATATGGTGGAGACACATCATAGTGGGATGCCTTACAGATGCCTGTAGAAATTATTTTGTTTAATAGTAAACAAGATTATAAAAAAAAAAAAAAAAACTATACGATCCTAATTTATAGATGCGTGTGAACAAGTATTTGATAATGTAAAAAAAAATCACTATAATAAGTGTTGTGTTGTTAGTTTTATTTTGATATTTTCAAAAATATTTTTCATTTATAGAGTATTGTAAGAATTGCGTTATTGCTACTCATTAGTCATACATTCTGTCTATTTTTTAACTTAAAGTCATAAATCTGCATCTCAAAAAGCAAAGAAGTGTTGGAATACTTGTCGACAAATTTTGAGCGAAAACTTTAATGGTATGATATTTTAAATTTTTGACTGCATAAAAGTAGGGTTATCACTTATCTATATTCTATTTCGTTCGAAGATTCCCCTATAAACCAATTTGGTACTATTTTGAAAGTTTTTCGGTAAGTTACACCGTGCCCAATATTAAAGTTGTTCTTATAGATGTAGTTGGAAGAGAGGTGAGCTTTTTGTCTAGTAAAAAAAACTATTTTTAAGCAAAACTGCGTACATAGACTGTAGTTATATCAAGTAGTTATAAAGTTGCTGTCAGTCCAGACATCGTGAAACATTTGATAATAAGGATATGACGGTGAAAACAAAATATTCTTCGACTGACGCATATATAGCTTAGACGAAAAATATCTAGAGATGTGGCTCAATTATTATAACATGTTCACAACTGATTTAATTCAAGTGCTCGTTTTTTTTTCCTACTACAAATTTTGTTATTTTAATAATTAAAAATAAAGACGACATATAACTGTTACTCACAAATTGTCATTTGTTTTTTAGCGCCAATAGGAGCGTGATGAAAATATGGCCGTAGTCTTCATTGTTTTGGATCCAATAGTAAAAGTATGGTGGTCCGTGTCGAGTTAATTAAGTCGATTCGATAAGTTAAAACAGATCGAGCGAGCGTAACACAGTCGGGCGACTGTTTTTTCGCCGATGCAACCCTTTGGATCGCCGTGGTGTAGTTAACTGCCGCCTTGTAAGAGCCACCGAGTGTACTGAGCATAAGATCTCTGCTGTTTAGGTCAATGTTAAAAAGCAGCGCTTGCTCTGACGGGCGGAGCTTATGCAATGACTATGACCTAACCGCGGGGACGTGCATTTCGGTATTAATGGGGTAACGGCTTAGTCGAAACGGCTTTTTGGTGTTTTGTAACTTGTAACGTATAATATTAAGCTATTGGACTTATTAACTGTACAAGTATTTATAACCTAAAATCGTAGTATTTCCACCCTACTCGAAAATTGGAGCCAGTATCAAGCTAGAAATTTGAATTTTTTAGGAGGTAGATTATTTTAAGTAGTGGCACTAGTACATACTCGGGATTAAGGGATATTATATTAGAGCAATCCATATTTAAACTTTTTTATATATTTTCTACCTGGCGTTCCCTCAATTTATTTGTTTATAAATATCGACTGAATTGAACAATGACAACACATGCTGCAAAGTTTTGGTAACACTAATTATACAAATGAAAAAAATAATAAACCAGCGATTAGTATAAGCTATTTGGTGGAACACATCATTGTGTTGTAGCCTAAAAAAAATGTAAAAAGCTATTTTCGGGTGCCCTCTCCTTAGCTACGCCACTGCTTAGTGCCTATTTATTTTACGATCGGAATTAACAGTTGATAAAGTAAACACTATACAAATAAAAAGGTTTTAATTTTGAATTTCTGCTTAATTGTTAAACCAAAATACATATCTTAACAATTATTGAAAAAAATTAGTAATTTACCGTTATCAATTATTTTAAATGTTCAGGGAGGCTTAAATATGAGTATGTTATAGTTTTTTTTTAATGTTATTTATAAATTACTTAATTTACGGGTTCAGTCACGGCTTGTTTTTTTGCTTTACAGCACTTTCTGAATTCTGATTACCGGCTGACGAGCTATACTGTAATTATATATCAAGAGTGAGGGTAGGATGGATGTTACTCTTCAAAAGATGTCTTAATTTAGGTTATTACAACCAATGTTCAATGTACTTATAACTATGATCTCAAGTAGTTGTAATAAAAAATGTATGGTATGAAGTATGTAGGTATTATACATTGTACCTATTTGTACCTATCTGCAGGAATCAGTTTTGTCAACTGGCAACAGTAAAAAATACAGTGTTAAAATAAAATAGTCTTGAAAATCGTTTGACATACTGTATTCCATACATAAATTTAGAATGACATATCATTTCGAGTCTGACTAATGTTGACCAAATGCAGTTCCTATTGTTTATGTTGACACGGCGTTTCAAACTTCAATTTGACAAAAGTGATGTTTAAAAAAATAACGCAACACAATATTTTAGCGAAGACAAACAAATTTGTTTAAAGCAATTGTTTTTAAAAAGGCATTATTAGCTTTATCTAATTACTTTCTTTGTTGATGAGATTACAAAAAAGAAGCTTGTACTTCTTTTAAACTTGTACGAGTTATTTGTATTGACTTATACTTCTCGTAAAAATAATTTTTAAGTATATTGCTATCATCTAAGTAATTTTCCTTTAGAACGATTTCTGTTATTATTCACGCTTCGACGTCGAACAAATAACGCCTTTCTCAGTTATATTTAGCAATCTAGTTTTTCAGACACCATTACTTTTTTCTTTCCTTTATTGCTTTTTTATTTGTCTTCTCGCTTTCTTACAGAACACCTGTTGTTTTATAAAGGAAACGACGAAAACTATTTTAAGAAACAAGTAGAGAAAAACAATAAAAAAATAATCAATAATTTTTCCTTTATTTATCAAAGTTAAAAATATGAACAAAATACTTTGTACATAATAATGTACCCCCTCTCCGTTCCTAATTACCTTTGTATCTAACGTGATAACGTAGAAGGTAAAAACTAACTCTTATGTTAGATATCTTATTATATTTCCAAATATTTGCAAATTAAAGATATCTGAAACAAACCAGTATTGAAATGTAATACCACTGTTGAGTCGGACACATATTGTATTATTATTATTTGGTTATACTTGCTCTAAACAAATTCCCTATGTAGTTTGTAGAGTACGACAAAATCCGGATTTTCAGTACTCAAATCCCAAAATCAAAATGCTTCAAAATACGATTTAGTTTAAAAATAAGTTAAGATATTAAAATGCTCAATTTGAAATTCTGCTAATATTTGTCTAACTCAACTAGTTTTTGTGTTTTCTTACTATTTGTTGTAACTCATAGGTTTTTAATTAATGCTAATTTTTCTATTCGCATCAAATTACTTTTTAAAAACAATTTTAATTCTGTGGATCAATGATAAGGTCCAGCGTGTTAACTGCACTGTCGCATGATAATTTATTCTATTACTGAAATTAATTTACTGACTAATAATTAGTATAAGTGTGTTGTTCCTACACATTGCGCTCCAACTATTGTATGTATAAGTCAATCGGTAGTTAGAGAGTGTACATTTTATATTAATTTATAAAAAAGGTCATTTATAAGAGAAAACCATTCCTTGTTAAAGTTATATTTCAGTAGTCAAATAAAAAATGTATCTGGCAGTACGATAAAACTAATAGAACGGTAAAACATTATAGCCTTAAACGATGCGCTGGTTTTTGTAAACAGGCTATCCAAAAATAAGTCCATGTTAGGTTGTATAAGTCGTTATGATCAAACTATATTTAGGTACTAACAAAAAAACAATCATTTAAACTTTATTATTGTTATTTTTATTAGGTAACTGATAAGAGGAGATACTGTAGGAGTACTGTAAAATAATAATAAGTATATCAAAGACGAAGTGTGATTGACTTACAGTTTATTTATTTGTCTTTAATTCTCAAACTATAGTGTAAGAACACATACATTTTTTGATATATATTATATAACGTGAAAATAATAAATACGTTGATTATATGATTATATATCTAATCAAAGAAAGTAATAATGCTATGTGGAAAGTGGTCTAATAGTATGTTTTTGTTTATTTCCAATAGAATTTAGTATTTTGGAGTGACCTCCATTGTTTTAACACTGTTGTAGTTGACGATAACTGCCAAGATGATAAACACCACACCGAACAACACCACTACGTATTTGACGTACTTGACGATAGCTATTGGTAAATACAGTTTATTTTTTATTAGTCCAGTCCACGTCTTGTTCAAAGCAACTCCCTGAAATGTTTAAATTTTAGACATTTTATTTTTTAATTATTCAAGTTTTTGTTTTTGGTTGCTTTTTATTTTTGTTATTTATTTGGATATGCCACTGATAAAACGGGAAAATATTATTACCTTAAGCATACACTATAGTAACTCAACTCTTAAACTATATTAATTCAATGATTTCGTACTCTTGTAGTGCAAATCGTTTATCTAAGAGCTAACAGTAATAACCAGTAATTTCTCACCGACTAATGTGATAATAATATATTTACCTCTTCTACCCAAAACAAGGGTATCAACCTCTCTTCTTGGCTTAGTTCTTTCATCAAAGCAATTTTAGATTCTTTTTTCAAAAACATATTGAACTGCATGCGCTTAAATCCTAATAAAGGTGAACCGGTCATCTAAAGTAGATCAATAAATGTATAGTAATAACTGAGGAAAGACGTGAAGCTACAAATTATAATTAAGAGGAGCTAATTTGGGCAAAGCTCGTAAAAAAATATTTTCTGGTAGATCTGATATAATTTTCATACTCGTGTATTAAACATAACTAATATTTATGAAAATAATCCACGTTTAATTTTTATTTGAAGGCATAAGTTCTAAACCTAAATTTACTAAATAAGTTTAACTAAAAGTTTAGTTAAACCTTAAACGGTTAGTATTGATTGCTGGGCTTTACATTGACAATTAAGGCGGAGGTCAAAACATCTTATGCCTCCCAAGGGCCAAGAATCCATGCCGTGAATAACACGGTAATAACGGTACTATTGATGCGACAACAAATATACATAACTATTACCGTTACTGTATTATTATAAATATTAAGTGTTTATGGTCTTACTGGCTCAAAATACATTTTGATTCCATGGTCTTCAATGGTAGGATTCAAACCCACCACGTCATTAAGATAACCGTCGGCCTTTAAGAAGTGCGGAAGAGTTGCTATGACTGGAGCACCTGTTAGTTACAACAAAGAGCATTATAGACTTTGTTTAGTTGTTTTAATAACCCGAAATGATTTGAAATACAATAAAGCATAAAATGTATGTATTAAAGAACGTTTTACAAGTTTTTCTTAATTTGTCATTGCATTACCTGCACATTTTGTTAAGTCTAACGCTCCGCTCTTCAAACAGTTTCCAGGATTCAGGCAATAACATTTTTCTTCGTCTTTTATCATACTAGCCGTGTATTCAAACACATGCAGACCATTGTATACCGCATCTTGCACATAGTCAGGTGCTAACGCTCTAAACGCGAGTCAAGTATTGAGCACAATTATTAAATGTATTAGCCTAATATACCTATTAGGCTATTACATTTAATAAATTATTTAAATTACAAATTGGCTATAATATATTTTGACTATGACTTATAGTACAACTATTAGAGTATACCTTTTAGACCTTAATATTTTTTTTAACATAGCAAATTATATTAAATGTAGACGTATTTTGAAAATAATAAACATACGTATTTATTTACGGAGTAAAACATAATTGATTAATGAAAAAACTTTTATTTCAAACTTACTTACTTACTTATTGTGCTTTAAATTGTACAGATTGTATATTTTCTCAATAAAAAATGTATATATATGTATATATGTCAGTCATGAGAGCAAAGATGAAAGACTCTCAATAACTTAACGTTTTCAATACGAAACAAATTAGCTGGGATCTTACCGAAATTCTTCGTAGAATTCTAACAAAATGTATCAATTTATGAGAAGGCTAATACTTAATATATTATAGTGATTAAATAATTTAAATGCGTCTAATTTGGTAGAGTAAAAAATCTATAACATAGTTTTCCTAGAAGAAGCTCTTTTGGGAGAGTCATAAAGGAGAGGTGGAGTGGAATACAACTAATCATTTATTCAAAACTTACAGAGATATACCGAATTGAAGTATTCCGAAAGTCAAACATGTAATTGAATTAGTATTCTGATATCATCATATAGTATCTCAACTGACGTGTGTCTGTGTTATATTTTAAAGTTACTAGGATCACGATAAAAGGATGCGGTGCGAGAGATAAAATTCTGAAACATACACAGACATCTTCTCACGCCTAATTTAGTATATGTCTTAAAAAACAAACATATGATATTTTTGAAATGTATTATTGTATGTATCGCTGGTTGACAATTTGAAGAAATTTGATGTTGTGTAAGTTTTGTTGAGATTTTTTTTATTAGAAACTTTTTCAAAAAATAAGCAAAACAAGATACTTTTTCCTTAATAAAATACTTCTTTAATTGAAACTTTTAAAATCGGATGGAGGGATCTGGACAGCGACATTTTTATACTGTATGCTAAAATGAAGTGTAATATAATAATACATGATTTTGACTTGGCGATGACACTCCTATCGCCCTATAATATACTATATAGTGACTTGGACTCTCACCTTTTGTGGAGACCTCCTTTAAATGTAAAAAAAAGAATCATTCCTTTGTTTATTGTTTACATAATAGATATGTATACTACTACATTAACGTAGTTTTTATATTTTTATTAAAATCAATTATGAATTTGATGTTTTTAGTTCAGACATTTAAAAGTAGTATTACAACGATATCACAAAAACGTGATTTTTTGAGTTAGGGAGACAATTTAAAAAAATGTATATACATAAGTGCTGGTATATAATTTAAGTACCTATGTTTTAGCTACATACCCATTTAGAGGTGTAGACTTCTCAATATAGTGTCAGAATAATAATAAAAAAATACTGTACGTGGTAATTTTGGTAGATACCTGCAAATGTCTCCGCTAAAACTCGCTAATATGGTCTCTCGTTTGATAAACGGTTGAAATATTGTGGTATCGGTACCATAAATCTGGTTGCACTCGTCGCCTGGCCAAGTATTAATTTTGTCTTTGCCATTAAACCGAATCACTTGGCCGACATCCATGGGTGACTTAAGTCCGCGTTTTACGGTGTAACGATTTCGCTCGATAGTTCCATTTTTCTGAATAAAAAATGAACAGTGAGATTTAAGGAGCACACATTAAGGTATCAAGTTGATGGATACCGGAAGTACCCATTGAATTCCCTAGTGAGTCTATACCTCTACACTCGGTGAAAACATCAGTTTCCTACCTGAATAGGTCTTTGTGCTGTTAACTACTTGTACTACTTAACTATATATTAACCTAATTAGGAAACAAAACTAATTAATATTTTATAATTTATCTTACCACTCCTAGTAGAGAAAACATGAAATGATTGTCGTCGACTTTGTGTAAACTTTCCGAATTTTGTCTTATCTGAGTGCAAATGGCAGTAGCTGCAAACTCGGTGGATGTACAGTTAATATCTAACCCTGTCCACATAATTTCGTTGGCAGTTCCTTTCATAAATATACTGTCTTGTTCTGGATACAAAAATGGAATGGCTTTGTTTACCATGCCCAGAGCACCCGGTTTTAACATTTTTGTCATTGAAACCATTCCCTAAGTAAAAAAATAGTACGGCTAATAATGTAATAATAAATATTATAATGGCTTATATAGTATATGTACTTCTTTCTGATTTTATTTGTATTGAATTTTTAATTTTAAAGAAGAAACACATGCTGTCTTTACTTACAAATAATGTGCACATTTTTAAAGGTGTAAACCATCAACTATCATTATTTAATAAACTATTAAGTGTATAACCGTAAATTACCACAATTGCCATGTGAGGCATGACGATGATCTCTTCTCCTGTCAGAGGACGTGACTTTTCCTCATCGAATATGAACGTATTTTTGAAACTGAACTCTACTGTATCATTTTCCACATCGTCAATCAAGTTTTCTTTTTCTTTCCACTCGCTGAAATAGTCATACCCGTCACAACGTTTGATATTAGTCCAATATACCCAGGGACACATTTTAGGGATGAGAGTACAGGGGCAGTATTGATCCTTATTGTGAATTTAAACTGTAGGCAACATTTTCAGACATTACAAAGTTATAATGATTTTGTGATCATGTTTCTTTACATTTTTATAATGTGTATTTAAAATGTTGCTAAGAAATGTTATTAATATTATTGTATTTATTTATATACTGATATGTACAATATTAACTATAGACATTACACAAATTAATTGTTAAGCTAAAAATATTAAGGCTAGGAGCTCTTCCTAGAGTGGGATAGGTTCCTAACAACCGTCTCACTATCGTGCTTAAGCGGGGTTGTAAAATAATCTAGTATTCCAGAAGATCAAAATTGTAAGTCCGTCCCCGAATTTGCCCACTACTCTAATGCACTCACTGATAGAAGTAAGGTCCTATTTCTTTTACAACGATTTTCTCGCCCTTTTGCGCTTCTTCTGGGTTTGTAACGTTAAACAAATATATTTTAAAGTCTGCCGAAATTGGAGGGTGCGACCACATCTCCCGCATTTTCGAATGTGGATTTAAAGATTTACTCTAGAACATAAAGGTAACAATCATTAATTATTATTAAAATATATTATTACTACAAATATTAGGTAACTATAGGGTGATTATGTATAAATGCCTAACTTGTCTTATTTGTTGTAATTTTGAACTCAGTCTCACTATTTGTATGCACATTGTGTAACAGTAAAATGTATATAGTTGGCCAAGAAACTCGACTAGACCCCGATCACAGAATAATTAACATCATGCTACTACTAATGTATATGGCCGTGACAGTCCTAGTGATGTGATAAATCATATAGACATATAAACTTTTCAAACTATTCAAGAGCAGCCTTTTTCTGTATAATAAGTTCGATGAAATAGGTATTGAATTTTGTTTTTTATAAATGTTATTTCAGAACGACACTCGACCGTACCTATAGTTAAAAGTCTTAAAACTAGTTTTAGGCGTTTGCTGTAGAGATAATATTTTTACTTTTACTCAATAATAGCTACTGTATTGTAGTTTATAAATTGTTACAATATGAGCCCTTGACTTATCATTTCAATTGAAGAACCCTCGGCCGTCTTCAGACACGATTTTTATGTATCTTTAAATCGACTCTCCTGATTTATTCCCCCTTATGTGTACACCAATTATCTTTTAATTTTGTATTGTATTTTACACATCGCAATTTTTAATCAAACTTTATTTGTCTCATGGTATTACTCTGTATTGTTTCCTTCATATACTTTTTTTATACTTTCTAATATCACTCCTACTTATGTTTTCATTTACTCTAAACGGCATTACTTATAACCACGTATTTATATTTGTTAACGTTGGCGTTTAATATAGACTTAGCATAAAACATCTCAATATTTTAAACAAATATTATGTAATAATAATGTCTATTACCTATATTTTGTATTAGACGAGAAACAATAATGACTTAATAAAATACTGTCTTAGTTTGTATTGAAACTAAAATTAAATTTGGTTAGCCATCATAACCAGCTAAGTCCAATTTCAGCGACAAACATGTTTTAGATCAGGGTTTTTCTCTAATCCAAAACTAATCACATTTCTGCTAAAATAATACGACCGTCCACTAAAGAAAAAAAAACAGCTGCTGCTATTCTATGCTCAAAATATTCTATTCAAAGTAACAATATTTTCAAGATTTTCTTTTGATATAATTATGTCTGTTGACGTAAAAACTTTAAATAGTCGTTATTTTTACCAAAAAATCTTCAGCTAATTGCACGTTGTTGTACAAATAGTAATTATTAATATTGTTGGTTCTAATGCCAAAAAATATGTCTAGGTACGTTATTACTATCATTACATTTTTTAAATCAAAAACCTTTACCTACAATGTTTTGAACAAATTATTTGCATAATAAATTTATGATGCATATATGTACATAGTCAGCTTAATTTTAATCGTTTAATAAACATGAATTAATTGTTTTTTATTTTAGGGTGATTAGTTGACCAAATCAATATTTAAATTCTTAACCTATGTCATAGTAAACCTATCGCCATGTATTGCTAATAACTTTATGCCTGAACTAAAATATTTAATGTTTTATTACAATAATTTTCTTGCATATTATAGGCTTAATTATAAGTAATATTTTTTTACTTAATCATTTTCTTCTATTTTGTTTTTTGGTTAATAAATTATAATTTTTACCTGTATTAGTTTTAAAACATTATTTTTATTTATTACTAGTTATTTTCTGACTTTTACTGCTTATGATTTAGGTTATAGTCGTTATGGTGTATTTTTTACTAAAACTCATAAGAAAATTTGGGAATACTAGATAGAAAAGTATAAGATAAAAAAGTCCAATATTTGAGTATTCAAAGTTTTTAAGTGTTGGAAAAAATGAATTGTTTGTAACAAAGCACTAGTAATATTCACAAACGTACAAATTTTAAGAGATGATTACTAGTATTCGTTTAATCTTATTTCCTGTCCAACTTCAAAGTATTACCTAAATAAAAAATCAGTTAAACAGTTTAAGTTTGCGTTCAAGTTAGAATTTATTAAAATGTAAAGATTTTAAAACATTTAATATGATAATATTTATCGAAATTTGGTGATAAATAAAATACAGTGACAGGAATACGTGACGGAAGGGAACGTCTAGTGTCACTACTTCAACTTGATTAGAGTAGATAAAAATTAAATAATTATTATATGACTGTTTAAATTTACTGTTATTATTTTATTTTTTTAGTTATCAAGGAGGTGAGTGACCAATTTTATTTTAACCGACGAGGGGGTTTGTTGAATAATTGAAGAAAGGTTGGTCATCAGTAAATTTGGGTGATTTGTAGTTGAATTACAAAAAAACTTGTGATTTGACTTCGTTTCGATGGTGGTCAATATTTTTCGTTGCCATTGCACGTTTTATTTGCCTTTGGAAACTCATCGTCTTACCTCTAGGATTTTACTATGTATCATCTTTGGAAAAGCGACCCATCCGACGAAAACTCCAAACAACAAGAAGAGTATACCGATGACGGTAAGTGTCGTTGGCGCACCCATACTGACGGCCGAGAGCTCCGAATGTTTACTTAAACAGTATCACTTAACTACTATACTGTTTTTTTAGTTTGACCAAGCACTTCCGAACGCGTATGCAGACTGTATCCATTTGGTGACTGTTTTAGCCACAAATTCAGCGGCCACACTGGGAAAATGTCTTTAGTTAAATTCCAAGGTCTATTCGTTTATGTGTGTGTGTGTGTGTGTTTGTCCAACGATCGCGTGGAATACAGTATTTGGATACGGTCGGTTGTGTATCCATAACCTATCATTATCTTGGCGTCTCTCTAGGAAAGTCGGACTACGTTGTAAATAAATTAAGACAATGCCGTAGTAGTCAAGGTGATGGCTTTCTTATCGATAACGTCAACAGCGATGTACTATAATTAGAAGTTTTGCTATTAAGTATTATACAAGAGCTGTACTACAAGGACCGATAAACGTACATAAAATTATTGTTCTTATTATAATACCTTCCTTCGAACGGAACACTCTATAAAAACAGATGGCCAACAACGCAATTTTAACCCAGCGTGGATGACGGGTTCAATTAAAATGTTCCCACAGGGTTGTTTATATTCAAGAGCAGTCAAAGTTTTACCAAGATATATTGCGATGATTTAAAGGGATCGCTATATCCATTAAAGTTAATTTTGAACTATACTTGAGACTTTCAAGTCTTTGAAAAACAAACAAGCTGTAGGAAGTATCTAATCTTATATAGTGGAGATTGCACTCATATAGTATTATAACACGGCCGAAATGAAGACACAAAATATAGATTTAAGTACAAACTGATGTTTTTAAGTCAATTATGACTATTTCAAAATATTAGCAGGAAATAAAAAATTATAGATAAAAGATAAATATTGATAATAATAACTAGAAACCCTAGACCATCTAAGATATTTGTCATAGATAATTTAACCGTTTATAAATTAACACTATTTTCAACATTAGAAGAAAAATATATGAATAAACAACTCAGAAAGATGAACATAAACACCGTTGATCAGCTTTACACATAGACATTAGCACAAGTAGACTGCGAGAACCCATGCACTTAAATATTTATTGAGAATATTATTATGACATAAGTAACTTGATTTAAAATTTTGATTTTTTTTTTAATGAAAATTATATTGTAACAACGAAATGTGAATTTTTATTTTTTAAATATGTTTAATCTAAAATCTCACATGATGAAAAATTTACCCCAGTCACATAATATATGTGTGTGACTGACGTGAAATGTTTACCTAAGTCACACTTAATTAAAGTGTGACTTGAAACCGCCCGCGTCAATAAAGGTTCACCATGAAATTTGCTTTTTCATGAACTATACTAACTTTTTGTGCATTGGTGAAATTAATAACTTTATTTTATTTTTCTGGTTGAGCTTTAACTAAACGAATAGCTTATAATTGACTATATAGTACAATTTTTTAATTATATCATGATATTCTCCTAGAAACCCCTCCGAGAAGACTCAGGTGCAATTGGCCAGGAGATTTCTCGAGGTCTCGATAACCAAACTCGTAATAACAAAACAAGAACATGAAGACAAGTGGACATTGCCCATTAGATAAAAATAACTAATTACTCCGGAGTACCGTCACTAGACGGTTTTTTAAAACCAGACTTCAAGCGGTCTTCTCTTTTTTCTTCCAGACATATCACTTATGCTTAAAGCTAAATGCTAGCTAAAAAGCTTATGCTAAAGACAACATTACAGGATTTTTATTGAAACTGAGAGTTTATTTAATAATCGTATTATCTACATATTGATTGTACAATTAATGTTGTATAATATGATGTATAAGACACAATAGATATGTTTTACAGTTGCACGCTTAGTGTTACACGTAGTGTCTGAAAATACCAAACACATAATGTGTGCTCATAGAAGGGAGGGGTCAGGGAACTTGATGTCTTTGCCAATTTCGAGTTGCACGGTTAACGACGATGATAGAACACTGGATGTGCTGGGGCGTAGATCGGGGCGGCGGCGACTACCGGATGCGAGATGCTGACGCTGGAGTAGGAGGTGGCGGCAGCCGGGGCGTGGTATACAGCTGGAGCGTGGTATACAGCCGGAGCGTGGTATACGGCCGGAGCGTGGTATACGGCCGGAGCGTGGTATACGGCCGGGGCGTGGTATACTGGAGCGACCGCGGGAGCGTGGTAGGCAGCTGTAAGATAAACACCAACATTTATTGTATGAGCTCTTAAGCATTGTATAAGTTACTTGTACCTGTTATTGTATGTGTTACTTTAGACTAGATGAATTAACGATGTAATATTACCTCAAGCATTGCGCCCAAACTACGTGTTAAGATTATGTGTTTAGAGACTGTTGGGCATTTGAAATTCTATTTACTATATAACTGAGTACGATACGATTTGAAAGTTTTAGTTTGAAGAAATGCATAGGGTGTGTGACGTAAAGTGAAGACTACCACATGGCCAATAATAAAAAGCGTATGCATTATTAAAGGAGTTAACCGTAGTAGATGAAAAGATGATATTATTTTGATTCAGTATAGTTTGTTTTAAGAGATATAGACAGTGTCATAACTAGCGGCGGGATTTGAGTGCGTAGCACCCTCGATAGGACACCACAAGGAAATTGGACCCCCAGAAGCTATAGGTAGTATAGTATTATTATCATAAGAGGATTTATAAAAGTGGAATTATTGGGTTCTAATGGTATGTAGCCGACTGGCATGACTAAAGAGTAAAACTCCCTTGTGGTTCTTACACAAAATATATATACTCACCGATGATGGCACGTTTGTCCTTAACGGTTTCGGTCTTCTTTTCGGCTGGGGCGGCGGTTGCGGCTGCTACAAGCACAAAAGCGATCAACACCTTTAAAAAAAAAAAATAGATATATTAACACTGATCAAGTAACAATAATTATTGTTCGTTGCGGCTTACTGTGAACTGCATGGTTGTATTTTGTTTGGTTTTATTTAGTATTTAGGGTATGTAACCGTTTGGTTATTGTCCAAGATGTACTGGCGAACTGATGACAGTGGACGCCGGGTCTCCAACTTTTATACAGTTGACGAATGTCCGAGATGGCCGATCTAAACTAGGTTAGAGGCGACCACTTCCACCACCGGCGGTTTCGCAAAGTTGATTTTTATCCGAACATGGGCCGTTTCACTTGGGGAACGAGACGACAATTGGAACTGGCATGAAAGCTAATGACAAAAAAAGTAAAAACACGCCTCGGGTAGATGTAAGGTCGACCATTGAAGTACACGTCGGTAAATGAGTCACATTAATCCGTACCTATATTATACTCTTCGACCTTGGAAGTCTAAACGTCTTGGCGCGCTGATGGCCACCGCGCGCAATAGCCTGGCCCAAGTTGTTCTAATACTAGTTACTACTACATCGACCACTGCTCCATTATGACTCGAGTCCGCTATTCCCATCATAGTACGTCATTACCTAGCATATTGTTCGCAGTCCTTTGATAATAAAGGCAACAATGAAATCATTGTAAATATACAATTTAAGTACAACAATTTTAAGAAAAACTTGTCGCAATACACTGCAGTCATATCGGTTTGCCTTTATGATTATTTAAATCATAATTTAAAAAGTATGTATCGCGTAAGAATTAGATAGATGTAATTCTTACGCTTAGTCAACTAAGTAAAGTCGATATGAAAATGTGTAAGTGCCGAGATTGGTCGTTTCTGTAAACTATCTTAGGAAGTAGAGAGGTAGACGCAGAAATAGGTTCCTCAGTGTATTTTCGGGAAATATATCTTAAAAAAATACAAATGTTACAAGGACATAAACATATAGCAGTTAATTTATTTAATTAAACTTTTAATACACTTGAAATCTCTTAATTATTTAACGTGTAAGTTGATGTCTTAAATTTTAATTAAAACGTTACACTCACTATACATATACGATACATTTTTAGGTACATTAATTTGAATAATGAATATATTTTATGCATTTTTATAATTATACATTTTTAATTATAAACTGTAAATTCAAGAAAATGGTCATATTATTCCTATAGAATAATACTGGCAAACCTAAATATAACTACAACATAATAATAATTGTCGACGTCACTTTGATCGCAAACAAACAAATTACAGCTTACCTAATTATTAGGAATTTAAAATAAATACCTATATAAATACAATGTAATAACTAATAAACATCTTTCAATCTTCGTTCTATTTCAAAGAATCGGGTAGTATACAGCAGTATACTCGAAAAAAAAACAAAATAGAGAACTAGGACAATCTAATTCATTCGCAACACCATATGGGCGGGTGTTTTATGGAAATTTTAATAATAGGTGCGAGAAATTCACTCCAAATAATTACTTTGACTATGTTTACTATAACAAGATAAACCCCATAATAATTATTATTAGAGTTGTTGGGCAGATTCTGGAAATCCTAAGTTTAGAATAAGCTTATTTGGTGATCACTGCAGTTTGATAGCAGATGTAATAATATGATAGTTTCAATGGTTCAACAAAGTTCATCTATGAGAAAATCATTAGACGGATTCAAGAAAACGGGTTTTGAGTAAAACAGAAAATTGAACTTTGAAAAAAAGTTTTGTCATTTTTTAAAGTAGTTATATCTTCTACTTATTCTACTGGTAAATTCTCTCAGGGTCTTAACCGTCAATACAACACCACACCACCTATCTCTGTCTCGGACTAATTTCTTCCATTCTTCCACTCCAAACGTAAACATTAGGTATATACTCTAAACCTTTTCAAAACTCAAATGATACCATTTTTTTATAAGCACTCAACAAATGTTATAGGTTTTTTTATAAAAAATATTAGTGTAAAACGTATACATTATTCAATTACAATTTTTTAAAAATATTTTTTATGAATTTTATTTTTTTAATTAAGTTATTATGATCTAGTTCTAGGTATTCCTCTAAAGTATTTACTTGTCCGTATTAGATACTTTCATCTAGCTTTTTGCTTCATAATGATTTGCTAGATTAATAATACAGTTCCTTAGGTTTTAAATGTTATGTTTTCCTCTTTAAACATAATAGATATCTGTTTTCTATTTTTATGAAATTGAATACTATTAATTCTTTTATTTTGTTGTAATTTAGAAATTTGAAACAACTTTTGATTTATTTAGGTTGATGGTGTAGAGAACTTCGGACTAATTAAAACCTAGTCTTTGAGTCAAGGAGTACCTCCAATACACAAGTACCGCAATAAGCGATTTCTCCACACAAGTCATTCAAGTAATTTATTATCTTGCGAGCAATAATACTTATTGTAAAAACAACGTAATGAGTAAAATAATTAGATTTTGTATTTTACTGAATCCGTTAATGTTTCTCTGAACTTAATAATTTATTTTCAAATTTTTAGTCAAGTCTGTTTGTGCGATCTTTGTTTTTTTATACATTATACGTCATTGTTATGGCAGTTGAAAGTTGAAAAGAAATTGCTATGCAACATTTATTTGTTTGATAGTGTACATAAATGTGTATAGTCGTGTAGCTGTAGAAATCATCGTCGAAATATAATAGTTTTTACAACAGGAAATTGAACGGTGACGTTTGTGTCGATATTTTAAACTGATCCGGGGAATATCAAAAGTATTTGATATTACAATGGAACAACCACAAGATACTGAAATTCCGCAATCGCCTCCTCCCGTTCGTTTGTCAAGACACATGCATAAAGAATTAATGATCGAAATCTTAAAGGGTAGATTATATTAGAACAACGTCCCGTACCTTCTAATATTCAGTATTAACCAATATTGGGGTTTGGACAAACAGGTGTGAAATTAAAAAAGGCTGTGGGGGTGAAACCCAAGCGGTCGGAAGTGCCCAGAGAGCTGGCGATGATTTTGAGACGTCGAATGGCGTTTGAAATGTCAGATTCTACAGACAGCGAACCTAGTGTCGACGACAACAGCGAAGAATGGTATACATAAAGGAACTGTTTTTAATGGAAGTTCAAAAAATAAAATATTTCCCTAGAATTTCTGTAACATAGTAGCACTTTATATTTAAAGTCCATTATTAATATTTTATTAATGGACCAGAAACGGTTAGAATGAATAACGTTTTTATAGCGGCACAGGTATTTTTAATCAAAACATATTTTGATTTATTTAAAACGTTAAGTTTATTTATAATATTTTAAACTCTGAAATTGCATTAAACATATATCTCTCCCATTGTGTTCTAGGAGTATTAGGTTTCATAATATCTTTTGATAATAAAGTCCAAATTTCCAAACAAATTTCGAGTTGTCTGGCCTTCTTTTCGAAATTATTTAAAGTTAAAGATTGGAAAATTGATCTCACAAGGATTTTTTATTTAATTGTGCAACCTTTCCTTCGTATATGATTTGTGATTTAATTTAAATATTTAATTTTCAAAAAAGATGTAAGTTAATATTTAATACATGTGATTAGGTTTAATTAAAATATCAATAAGCCAATGAAACCTATTTGGTGATCGCAGTCTGTAATACCAGACTCGATTAAAGTATATATTATTATTTATATTTTGTTAAAATACAACCAATCTTGTAGATTACGAAACCATTCAATGAAAGGGAGAATATTTCTCCAAATTGGGTTTCAACATATAAAATGCAAGGGAGTTTAATATACATAGGAAATTATTTTGGTCTTGTATTATTATGTTTAAATGAAGTCAGTGTCGATGAAAAGAAACTTTTCTAAATTCGTCTGATCCAAATAAAACGAGTTTAAGGAGACCTAGAAAAAATTAATGAAACTTTGTAATTAAGTTAAAGTACAGAGCAACACAGTCATGTGTTCGGCGACCGTAGTTCGATATTTTAACACTGAAAGTAATCGAATTATGATGGTATCTTTTGCACTTCTTAAATTGAAACTGAACAATTTATATCACGGGTAGTAAATAGTACATCTTTTAATCGTTCTTCTTCTTCAGTCCCTGTAGGGTATTTAGGGTATGACTGAGTTGCAGGGTAAACCTAAGGTAGGTCCCCCATTTGCATGTACTAAAACATGTGGGCAGCATTAATAATATAAGTTTTTACTGTGTCCCTACATTAGGAAAAGTAAGTATCGAAAAAAGCTTAGTTATTCGTCAACACATAAAGTGACGATTTCAAAATAGAACACTGAACAGTGCATAATTAATATAGTGTTAAAAAGAACAAAATACTTATTTTAATTAATGGTTTGACATTTTATAACAATTTGATCAAATTATTTTATTGAGTGGTAGAATGTCAGTACAATACGCACACTGATCATTTGCTTTTCATATTAAGCGTGTTACAGAGAATTTAAATACCAAACAAAAGTAAAATGACTAAATGTCTCAGTGAGACTGTCTCACATTTGCATACTTCACCTAAATAAAGCTAAGGTACTCTATTCTATATTTAACGGATTCAACGTACTTATGTGCTAAAGAAATTCACGCAGGGCGTGGGCGCTTTATTTAAACTAACAGTATATAATATAATATTATAATGTTCAACAATAGTTTTCATGTATAATGTTCAACACAAAATAATCAAACAAAACCCTACTTAAGAATGGAAAAATCATCTACGTTGTGTGAAATGAGAGACTTTAAAATGTTTATAGCGTGTCCAAATCATTTTTTTTTTTGTTTAACTATAGCCCTGTTTAAAAAAGAAGTGTACAAGCCAAGTCAAATTTACTAGTCATGATGTATAGATTGTCAAAATTACTAATTTTCTTGCCTCGCTTAAGTCCATCCCTATTAAGAACTTTTTGACAATTGTCGTTCTATTTATAACCAACAATGTATATTTTATGGTATGAAAAAATGTATACGTTTTGGTCATACTTAATTCTATACTTTTTAAGTTACTGTTACGTTTACTGTTATTATTTTATGGTTATAAAAAATATTATTAAGATTTGTAGTTATTTAAAAGTATTGTGATTTTCGTTGAAATGCTTTATTATTTTTGTATAAGCTAGTTTTAATTAATACAAAAATCGTACTAATTATACATGGATGACCCATAGTTGATATACATTCCGCAATATCTGAAAATATATAT